CACACACACACACTGAGCTGCTCTCGGCGCGTTCGCTGATGTTTGTGTGTGAATGTTGATCTTGTGAGGAGTGTTAGCGCACGGCTAGCCGAAAGCGCGCATGTTTCCCGCTGATGATCGGTGACTGACAGCGGCTGTCTCTTACCTGACGCCCGCACAGCGACTGACGCGCCGCTTCCACTCACAAGAAACGCAGAAATGAGAACATGATCTGATGATGATCGCCGCCGCTCTGATGTCAACACAACCTGCGCCACATCCGGGTCACCTGTGCGCGAAACACGATCACTTCCTGTTCAGAGTGACGCTTTTGTCCAGCATTATAATAAGTATTTTATTATAGAAGTGCACTTTAAAATTAATTTATATGTTCTGACAAGAAACAGCTGCCCGTTTACTTTCTGATTGTAACATAATAAATTATATTTTATTAATATATAGCCTAAATACTGTTTTATTATCTTTTATCTAAATAAATATATTATGTTTATGAACCCATGATGACGTAGCTCTTACAAACTTCATTATATTGTATACTAATTATTTTCATTCATTCGCTTCCTCCTGAATTCAGTTCTCATCATTAAAGATGTGAGTTTAATATTGTGCTGTTTCGACTTAGCTCTTATATTGTTGTATTATATTTCAGATATGGATGTGATCTCCCTGCATTTATATGTTCTGAAAAAATTAATTTTAATAATCTGTAAAAAAGTAGAGAAGAATTAGTGAATATTTAATCCTGCTTTAAAAAAAATGTTAAATGTAGATTTGTAAATACACATTTATCCCAATAATAATTATAATAATGATGATGATGATAATATTTGTATGGCTGGCTTTTATGTTCATATCGGTGAAGAAACAAAGAAAGTTTATATCTTCTGTCACAGAGGCGTGTGTGTGAGGATCAGATATAATCAGAGCCACGAGGTTCCCCTAAATTACAGTACATAGCACACTAATCATTCATAAACAAATGAATAAACATACAAAACACAGCAAATAACGGCATCAGGTGCTCTCGGGTGTTTCATTAACACTCATTATTAGTAGTTTGGGTGTTTCTCCGTGTCCTTACACTACTAACCCTTGACACAGTCTGTCTGGTATAAGCTACACAAACACTGACCATGATCAGGTTAGGGTAAGGGTTAGGGTAAGGGTTAGGGTAAGGGTAAGGTAAGGTAAGGTAAGGTAAGGTAAGGGTGGGTTCTGTGGTTGTTGTTGGGCGGAACTAATGTGCGCGACGCTGTTTCCGGCGGGGCTGTTTTTCCGGTAGCGCGTGACTGAGTCAAACATGTCAAGTTCCTACAAAAACAGGTGAGAAACACAATCAACACGCAACAAACATCGCGTTTTCATTCAGACACACACACTTTACCTCATGTACAGGCGCAGCAGAGCTCATTTACAACAGACGCGCACCTGAAGCGAGATGACACCGCTCAAGTGTGAGAGAGAGTGTGTGTGTGTGTGAGAGAGAGAGAGAGAGAGAGAGAGAGAGAGAGAGAGAGAGAGAGAGAGAGAGAGAGAGAGAGAGAGAGAGAGAGAGAGAGAGAGAGAGAGAGAGAGAGAGAGAGAGAGAGAGAGAGAGAGAGAGAGAGAGAGAGAGAGAGAGAGAGAGAGAGAGAGAGAGAGAGAGAGAGAGAGAGAGAGAGAGAGAGAGAGAGAGAGAGAGAGAGAGAGAGAGAGAGAGAGAGAGAGAGAGAGAGAGAGAGAGAGAGAGAGAGAGAGAGAGAGAGAGAGAGAGAGAGAGAGAGAGAGAGAGAGAGAGAGAGAGAGAGAGAGAGAGAGAGAGAGAGAGAGAGAGAGAGAGAGAGAGAGAGAGAGAGAGAGAGAGAGAGAGAGAGAGAGAGAGAGAGAGAGAGAGAGAGAGAGAGAGAGAGAGAGAGAGAGAGAGAGAGAGAGAGAGAGAGAGAGAGAGAGAGAGAGAGAGAGAGAGAGAGAGAGAGAGAGAGAGAGAGAGAGAGAGAGAGAGAGAGAGAGAGAGAGAGAGAGAGAGAGAGAGAGAGAGAGAGAGAGAGAGAGAGAGAGAGAGAGAGAGAGAGAGAGAGAGAGAGAGAGAGAGAGAGAGAGAGAGAGAGAGAGAGAGAGAGAGAGAGAGAGAGAGAGAGAGAGAGAGAGAGAGAGAGAGAGAGAGAGAGAGAGAGAGAGAGAGAGAGAGAGAGAGAGAGAGAGAGAGAGAGAGAGAGAGAGAGAGAGAGAGAGAGAGAGAGAGAGAGAGAGAGAGAGAGAGAGAGAGAGAGAGAGAGAGAGAGAGAGAGAGAGAGAGAGAGAGAGAGAGAGAGAGAGAGAGAGAGAGAGAGAGAGAGAGAGAGAGAGAGAGAGAGAGAGAGAGAGAGAGAGAGAGAGAGAGAGAGAGAGAGAGAGAGAGAGAGAGAGAGAGAGAGAGAGAGAGAGAGAGAGAGAGAGAGAGAGAGAGAGAGAGAGAGAGAGAGAGAGAGAGAGAGAGAGAGAGAGAGAGAGAGAGAGAGAGAGAGAGAGAGAGAGAGAGAGAGAGAGAGAGAGAGAGAGAGAGAGAGAGAGAGAGAGAGAGAGAGAGAGAGAGAGAGAGAGAGAGAGAGAGAGAGAGAGAGAGAGAGAGAGAGAGAGAGAGAGAGAGAGAGAGAGAGAGAGAGAGAGAGAGAGAGAGAGAGAGAGAGAGAGAGAGAGAGAGAGAGAGAGAGAGAGAGAGAGAGAGAGAGAGAGAGAGAGAGAGAGAGAGAGAGAGAGAGAGAGAGAGAGAGAGAGAGAGAGAGAGAGAGAGAGAGAGAGAGAGAGAGAGAGAGAGAGAGAGAGAGAGAGAGAGAGAGAGAGAGAGAGAGAGAGAGAGAGAGAGAGAGAGAGAGAGAGAGAGAGAGAGAGAGAGAGAGAGAGAGAGAGAGAGAGAGAGAGAGAGAGAGAGAGAGAGAGAGAGAGAGAGAGAGAGAGAGAGAGAGAGAGAGAGAGAGAGAGAGAGAGAGAGAGAGAGAGAGAGAGAGAGAGAGAGAGAGAGAGAGAGAGAGAGAGAGAGAGAGAGAGAGAGAGAGAGAGAGAGAGAGAGAGAGAGAGAGAGAGAGAGAGAGAGAGAGAGAGAGAGAGAGAGAGAGAGAGAGAGAGAGAGAGAGAGAGAGAGAGAGAGAGAGAGAGAGAGAGAGAGAGAGAGAGAGAGAGAGAGAGAGAGAGAGAGAGAGAGAGAGAGAGAGAGAGAGAGAGAGAGAGAGAGAGAGAGAGAGAGAGAGAGAGAGAGAGAGAGAGAGAGAGAGAGAGAGAGAGAGAGAGAGAGAGAGAGAGAGAGAGAGAGAGAGAGAGAGAGAGAGAGAGAGAGAGAGAGAGAGAGAGAGAGAGAGAGAGAGAGAGAGAGAGAGAGAGAGAGAGAGAGAGAGAGAGAGAGAGAGAGAGAGAGAGAGAGAGAGAGAGAGAGAGAGAGAGAGAGAGAGAGAGAGAGAGAGAGAGAGAGAGAGAGAGAGAGAGAGAGAGAGAGAGAGAGAGAGAGAGAGAGAGAGAGAGAGAGAGAGAGAGAGAGAGAGAGAGAGAGAGAGAGAGAGAGAGAGAGAGAGAGAGAGAGAGAGAGAGAGAGAGAGAGAGAGAGAGAGAGAGAGAGAGAGAGAGAGAGAGAGAGAGAGAGAGAGAGAGAGAGAGAGAGAGAGAGAGAGAGAGAGAGAGAGAGAGAGAGAGAGAGAGAGAGAGAGAGAGAGAGAGAGAGAGAGAGAGAGAGAGAGAGAGAGAGAGAGAGAGAGAGAGAGAGAGAGAGAGAGAGAGAGAGAGAGAGAGAGAGAGAGAGAGAGAGAGAGAGAGAGAGAGAGAGAGAGAGAGAGAGAGAGAGAGAGAGAGAGAGAGAGAGAGAGAGAGAGAGAGAGAGAGAGAGAGAGAGAGAGAGAGAGAGAGAGAGAGAGAGAGAGAGAGAGAGAGAGAGAGAGAGAGAGAGAGAGAGAGAGAGAGAGAGAGAGAGAGAGAGAGAGAGAGAGAGAGAGAGAGAGAGAGAGAGAGAGAGAGAGAGAGAGAGAGAGAGAGAGAGAGAGAGAGAGAGAGAGAGAGAGAGAGAGAGAGAGAGAGAGAGAGAGAGAGAGAGAGAGAGAGAGAGAGAGAGAGAGAGAGAGAGAGAGAGAGAGAGAGAGAGAGAGAGAGAGAGAGAGAGAGAGAGAGAGAGAGAGAGAGAGAGAGAGAGAGAGAGAGAGAGAGAGAGAGAGAGAGAGAGAGAGAGAGAGAGAGAGAGAGAGAGAGAGAGAGAGAGAGAGAGAGAGAGAGAGAGAGAGAGAGAGAGAGAGAGAGAGAGAGAGAGAGAGAGAGAGAGAGAGAGAGAGAGAGAGAGAGAGAGAGAGAGAGAGAGAGAGAGAGAGAGAGAGAGAGAGAGAGAGAGAGAGAGAGAGAGAGAGAGAGAGAGAGAGAGAGAGAGAGAGAGAGAGAGAGAGAGAGAGAGAGAGAGAGAGAGAGAGAGAGAGAGAGAGAGAGAGAGAGAGAGAGAGAGAGAGAGAGAGAGAGAGAGAGAGAGAGAGAGAGAGAGAGAGAGAGAGAGAGAGAGAGAGAGAGAGAGAGAGAGAGAGAGAGAGAGAGAGAGAGAGAGAGAGAGAGAGAGAGAGAGAGAGAGAGAGAGAGAGAGAGAGAGAGAGAGAGAGAGAGAGAGAGAGAGAGAGAGAGAGAGAGAGAGAGAGAGAGAGAGAGAGAGAGAGAGAGAGAGAGAGAGAGAGAGAGAGAGAGAGAGAGAGAGAGAGAGAGAGAGAGAGAGAGAGAGAGAGAGAGAGAGAGAGAGAGAGAGAGAGAGAGAGAGAGAGAGAGAGAGAGAGAGAGAGAGAGAGAGAGAGAGAGAGAGAGAGAGAGAGAGAGAGAGAGAGAGAGAGAGAGAGAGAGAGAGAGAGAGAGAGAGAGAGAGAGAGAGAGAGAGAGAGAGAGAGAGAGAGAGAGAGAGAGAGAGAGAGAGAGAGAGAGAGAGAGAGAGAGAGAGAGAGAGAGAGAGAGAGAGAGAGAGAGAGAGAGAGAGAGAGAGAGAGAGAGAGAGAGAGAGAGAGAGAGAGAGAGAGAGAGAGAGAGAGAGAGAGAGAGAGAGAGAGAGAGAGAGAGAGAGAGAGAGAGAGAGAGAGAGAGAGAGAGAGAGAGAGAGAGAGAGAGAGAGAGAGAGAGAGAGAGAGAGAGAGAGAGAGAGAGAGAGAGAGAGAGAGAGAGAGAGAGAGAGAGAGAGAGAGAGAGAGAGAGAGAGAGAGAGAGAGAGAGAGAGAGAGAGAGAGAGAGAGAGAGAGAGAGAGAGAGAGAGAGAGAGAGAGAGAGAGAGAGAGAGAGAGAGAGAGAGAGAGAGAGAGAGAGAGAGAGAGAGAGAGAGAGAGAGAGAGAGAGAGAGAGAGAGAGAGAGAGAGAGAGAGAGAGAGAGAGAGAGAGAGAGAGAGAGAGAGAGAGAGAGAGAGAGAGAGAGAGAGAGAGAGAGAGAGAGAGAGAGAGAGAGAGAGAGAGAGAGAGAGAGAGAGAGAGAGAGAGAGAGAGAGAGAGAGAGAGAGAGAGAGAGAGAGAGAGAGAGAGAGAGAGAGAGAGAGAGAGAGAGAGAGAGAGAGAGAGAGAGAGAGAGAGAGAGAGAGAGAGAGAGAGAGAGAGAGAGAGAGAGAGAGAGAGAGAGAGAGAGAGAGAGAGAGAGAGAGAGAGAGAGAGAGAGAGAGAGAGAGAGAGAGAGAGAGAGAGAGAGAGAGAGAGAGAGAGAGAGAGAGAGAGAGAGAGAGAGAGAGAGAGAGAGAGAGAGAGAGAGAGAGAGAGAGAGAGAGAGAGAGAGAGAGAGAGAGAGAGAGAGAGAGAGAGAGAGAGAGAGAGAGAGAGAGAGAGAGAGAGAGAGAGAGAGAGAGAGAGAGAGAGAGAGAGAGAGAGAGAGAGAGAGAGAGAGAGAGAGAGAGAGAGAGAGAGAGAGAGAGAGAGAGAGAGAGAGAGAGAGAGAGAGAGAGAGAGAGAGAGAGAGAGAGAGAGAGAGAGAGAGAGAGAGAGAGAGAGAGAGAGAGAGAGAGAGAGAGAGAGAGAGAGAGAGAGAGAGAGAGAGAGAGAGAGAGAGAGAGAGAGAGAGAGAGAGAGAGAGAGAGAGAGAGAGAGAGAGAGAGAGAGAGAGAGAGAGAGAGAGAGAGAGAGAGAGAGAGTGTGAGAGTGTGTGAGAGTGAGTGAGAGAGAGTGAGAGTGAGTGTGAGAGAGAGAGGGAGTGAGTGTCAATGAGAGAGAGAGAGAGTGAGTGAGTGTGTGTGTGTGTGTGTGTGTGTGTGTGTGTGAGTGAATGTTTATTCTCACTGAGTCACATTATGGGACAATATAAACGATCAGCTGTATTTGCGTGTGTGATTTCAGCCTCATTCAATCTCTCCATGAGCTTAATTTGTTCTCTTTGAGTCCGATGTTTCTCTGAAACGCCTGTAAATGAGCGACAGGATCCATTAAAGCAGCTGGTGAAAGTTCAGATTGGAGTCACAGGATTTAACCAGCTAGTTATGCGCGTGTTAATGAGCTCACGAGGAGGCGTGTGACGAATCATTCATGTCTCATGTTCTCATGCCGTGAATGAGCCACTTTGTGTCAATTGAAATAAAAGTGATCAATGAATGAAATGAATCGTTTGAAATGTAAGTTGACATCTAGACCTTCAGCTGAGATGTTTCAGACTAGGTTAAAACAAACTTTCTTCTGTGGAGCACAAAAGAAGATATTGTGAGAAATGACTCAGTGCTTTTTGCTCGTATAATGAAAGTCAGTGGGGTCCAATGTTCTCCTAAACATGTGTTCAGCAGAAGAGAGAAAGTCATAGAGGGGACGGAGAGTTTGTTTGTGTTCGACCCAAAGCTCCAGATATGAATATTAAAGTGTTTTCTGCATCTTATAGAGGAATCAAAAATCTGTGCTTTTAAACTCACTTGAATGTTGATGTGTGAGTTTATTTCACTGTTTCTATTCAGTAAGAACGTCTGGACCCGAAACCTTGTGTTCCTCAAACAAATAAAATATGGTATTTCTGTAATTTCACTGTATCTTTCTGCATTTACTATCAAATGAGAAGCATCACTGAGACCATGAGAAAAGGCTTTATGTTTGAGATGTGAGATCAGACGCTCACGGTTCTCTCGTGTTCCTCAGGATCCAGGAGTTTAAGGCGACTCTGAGCGAGCAGAAGATCGATCTCAAGGCTTTACGTGAGCTCTGCTTCAGCGGTAGGTTGAGTGTGAGTCGTGTCTCGTGTGACGTGTGTGTGTGTGTGTGTGTGTGTGTGTGTGTGTGTGTGTGTGTGTGTGTGTGTGTGTGTGTTCACCGTCTCATCCGTGTCTCACAGGGGTCCCGTGTGAAGGAGGCATCCGCGCGCTCTGCTGGAAGGTCAGTGTCTGATCTGAGTGAGTCTCTTGTGTGAATAAATGAAGAACTAGAATGAAAGAGATTTTCTCCTGCAT